ATATAATATGAAGTTGATTGCACTCAAAATGTCATTAATGGTAATTCTGTTATACATTCTCTCTCTCTCTCTCTCTCTCTCCTTAATATTCCTTTTGCGCTGAGATTATAGATAGGATTAACTATTAATGAAAAGCGAGAGTTAAGTCATAATTAAGTCATTTTCATCGCTCAGACCAAACCCATAATTTGTATTCACTTTTACCATGTATTTAACAAAAGCATTTAATTTTAGCCATCATTTAGATTGTCTTCAATTGTATTGTATTTTAAAAATCTCATTCAAAACTAGGGATCAGTTTTCACAGCAAACCTATTATTATTTGAAACAAATCATTATTTATTATTATTATTATACGGATTGTATATAAACTAAGATTTTGTTTTTTTGGCAAATACTTATCAGAGAAGAAAATTGCATTAAATCTGATCTCTTAAGCGCTTTTAAACCCCAAGTAATTCATTAGAAATAATTATATTTCTTATATAATTCATTGGTTTAGACATTGTTTATGAGGGCATGTCTCAGGACGGGTGCCATAAAGCCATACAAAGTATATAAATTTGGATTTTATTGCCTAATCTCTTGTAGGCTTTAATTACAAATTATGTGCCAAATTATAATTAATTAAGCCTTAATTAAATAACTAAAGCGAGCGAAACTGATTACCAAGGTGATTGTCAACGATTGCTATCTAAATTCAGGAGGCGTTGAGAGAGAGAGAGAGAGAGAGAGAGAGAGAGAAAGAGAGAATTGTATAGTAATTATAAGTTATGTTTTATTACTTACGGGAAAAATAGATAGTAATTAAATAAATGAACGAAATAAAAAAATTTAGTTTTATTGCTATATTTCCTAATAAGAAATAGCCATAAAAATTACACAACAATTATAACACAAATACTATTAAATAATGATATAAATATAATTATTATGATGTGAGTCCTAATCAAACATAATTTTATTTACTATATTAACGGTTCGCATGATTGTTAGCAATAAAAACATTTTATTATTAGTTTTATTTTTTGATTATTTAATACATTTTATATATATTTTATGTATATATATTTTATATATATTTAATAATATTAATATACATGTGTTATACCTGTTATTTCACTGGTATAGCAATGAATTGTTATTATGATAGCAATGAACGCACAAAACCATAATTATTTTTATATATTAAATGTAATAAACTATAGAATAAAATACTAATAAAAATATATTAATAAAGATAAACATATCTATAAATAAAATTAGAGTTTTATGAACTTTTTTTGAATTTAAAGCACTTATTCATTATGAGAAAAGGAGAAATATCACTTATGATATAAGGTGTACTAAAATAAATCGACAAATACATGGTAAATAATATTAGATAATATGATGGTCACCCCACACACCATCTCTATCTCAGTTGATATGATCTGTGAAATATGAAAAGGGATTTATTTTCATGTGTTTAAAAATTAATTTATAATAATTCTCACTCACTTTACACACTTTAAGACATAAGGCTATATCGTAGGTGTTTTCCCTAACTGTCCCGTAATCTCACACAAAAAAATAAATCTTAAGCAAATGAATAAAATAATCATTTTCTACAAATACCTGTCTTTTATTATAGATATAACATATCGTTTAAATCACTTTCGCATTGATTTATAAAATTCAAATAAATGTGTTTTTAAAGAAAATATTTTTTCTGTTGTTTTGTATATAAAAGGAATATTACATCAGAAAAGGGAAAGTTTTACGATAAGTATTAATACATTAATGATTACATTTGCCTCTTATGTACTCAGGTATACAACTGTCGACTGAATTGCAAATAAAATATAATTTAAAACACATATTAATCAGTATTATATGCAATTAAAATCGTGTAAAATGTTTGTTATTTCAATCCCACTATATATTAGTAGTGAATATATGTGTTATTTAACATTATTTGAAAATTTTTTTAGTTAAAATGTATTTTTGTGTTGAATTTTTTCAATTTCTTTGACTCTACAGGAGATTAACTCTGAATTATTAATAATAAGGTCTATTAACACTTAACGTAGCGATAAATTGTGTTTAAATGTTATGCGAAATTCATTTATTATAAAAAAGTAGACAATAATTATCTTTTCATAAGAATATATATTTTATAATTTGAAATCCAATTATTTTTTGTCTAAAAAATAATTGCTTATTATCTGTAGAAGTACTCAATTTAATATAATTTTTTAAAAATGGTTACAGTATTCAATATATTTTTATATAGATTTACCAGCCTCTCTCTCTCTCTCTCTCTCTCTCTCTCTCTTTCTCTTATTCTCTCCATGTTTTATATTATCTCTCATAACATATAATAAGATAATACTTATGTCATGTAATATACGGTAATTCAAAGTCACTCTTTATATTGCATTTCAAGTCCAAGTATTGAAGCCATTATTCAATGACTGAAATAATACACAATATTTCGGCCAAACATTAAGAATAAATAATATTTCTATTCCTCTCTCGCTATAAGTTTTTGTTAGTTTTGTTATATTTTATCATTTTTTGTTTGTGTTTCTCTGTATTTGTTATATTTACCAGAAGTCCCAAAGCCATCAACTCTACCTTCAAGTTGTATTATAAACAACGAGTGATAAAAAACACTAAACCATTAGAGAGAGAGAGAGAGAGAGAGA